TTCGTGAAGCCAGAGTTGATGAAAGCGGCTCTTGAGCAGGTGAAGAATCTAATGATGATGGACAAGATGAATGTTTCCCATGACTTGCCGCATGAGTTCTGTTAGCTGTAATTATAGCTTCCGAAGATGCAGTAACAGATTTTGATTTTTCCCCAGGTGTGGAATCCTTGCCAGGAGTTAGTGCAGCTGGAGCACTATTATGTCTTGATGGTGGATAGTATACGTGCATTGAATTAGTGTAAGAACCTTTATTAGAAGGAATCCACCTAGATACTGCATTTGGCTTTGCCTGCCTTAAAAGTGTGCCCTGCAATTCTTGTTGTTTTGATTTCTTGGTACCAACTGCATCTGCTGCAGGTTTTGAACCGGAAGTCGATTGTTTCTTTAGGGCTATCTGCTTATTATTATCAACCTCCAGCTTTTGCAGAGAAGCTTCCTTTTCTATCTTCTTGATTGAAGAAGGAACTTCTTGACTTCGTTTATTCTCGCCTTCTTCTGATTTGCCAAGTGCACTAGCTTGTACAGCTTTGGTTTCTGAATCATTTGCCACTCCAGAGACGGCTACCCTAGTATCTAACTGAACATCCCCATTGTGCAAAACATACGCTTTCGATATATTTTTATATACATCCATCTTGACATCATGTTTGTAACTCCCCTCATCCGATGCACAATCTTGAAATGTGTGATGATCCAAATCATCCTTCCAGACTAGTTCATGAGCATTTTCATCATCCTGAGAACTAGCTTGAATTATACGAGTATCAGAATCTGCCTTCCCATCCCGCCCATCAACCACACTACTAAAGATCTCTTCTGCCTCGAAAAACTCATCTGGGGAAGCGGTTTCTGCTTCATTCCCGTCTTCAGTTACTGCTTCCGTGGTGATAATAGATGGACCAGATTCTGCATCGGAAAAAAGTACCTGATACAGATAGGAGTATGTTTTCAACTCCTAAAGCTTGGGAAAAGGAGAGGCATAAATTGGCAAAATAATACCTTACCTCTGCTCTGAATTCCTTTGAAAATTGATCCTTAGCATCCCAAAGAACATCAATTTCATCACGAGTCAGCATTAAAACATTTGACCGAATAAATGCCGTATGGAACATAACCCTAAACATCATTTCCTCCCTCACCAGATCATCATCCAAATGGATGCACTCAAGAACAATATCTCCTTGAACACGGCAATGAATATCTAGTTTCACTAGTTCACACTCTTCCTGCAGTCAGGTCATAAAATTACTTTAGAATTCAATTGATTAATCCTATTTAGTCTCAATTTTAAGAATTATGGCATTACCTGTCGATAGAGACGGATATTCTTTTTCATGTTGGAAGTTGAAAACAAAAGCTTTGAATTTCTACTGGATGTTCTGGACGAAGGGTCCTGACCATAGATGCGAACTAACGGTCGGCATCCTCTTCCACCATCACATAGAGGAAGAATTCTAAGTATTATACAGTCCAAAGCCAGAGGTGTATCTGATGGGAGCCAATCCGATCCAAAATATCTTCTAGAAATGTACTGAAGATATCTGAGCTGAGATGGCTGTGGATTTAAGGAAGACATAAGACGAAGAAGTTCCCTAGGAGCTTGCTTGTATACCATTTCAAGAGTCTTCTGCTCACCCGTGTACTGTTTCTTGTACAGAAGAAGGCCAGCAAGCATGAAGGCAAGGACAGGCCACCCTCCCCTTTCACAGTGCATCAAAAGCACATTCTGTTGGCCCTCAAGTGACAACCAGCTCTCACTGGATCGCAAGAAGTGGTTAATCATCTCCAATGGTAACAGCGGACAACCCTCATATTGCCGAGGGTAATCCATAACCGTCATATCATATTGAGATAATAAATCTGATATTTGACTTCTCCTCTCCCCTTCTTTGAAGTTGAAAACCATGAAGGCAGCATCGGGGTAGTGGTCCTGTAGCTGGGCTACAATTCCATTCATGTATGCTCTGTACTCATCTTCATCTAGTACGGCAGTGGAGAAGCAGCAATCAAATACTGCGAGTAAAAAGAAATTAATCAGCACAACCATATTTACATATTTCAGAAGATTTATTAGCTCCCTTCCATGTAATACTATTCCAAACAGAGACCATCTACACTGTTTCCAACACATGCAATTCAGATGTAAAATGAAAAGCAATTGCAATTATTATTATTTAATTGTAGTATACACAGAAAATGTGACCGAGAAATCAGAAAAATTCCTGTATGTTGTTCTGGAATGTCTAAAATTTAAGAGAAGTTGGTAGTATATTTCAATATTATCGTATTTTGATAACCCACAAGTTTTTTAGCTTCTAGATGGAGCTAAAACTTTCTGTATCACATTACATCATAACGGGCATTGGGCAATGAAGTTCTACATACAACTTAACTACAGTAATGAGAGAAGTGAATCTTTAAAAAACTGATTTGTGGAAATTTATCACGTATAAAACTTTTTTTACATCACTGAAAATATAGTAACAGTTCAAATTCTAACCACTGAAAACTTCGATGAGAGCTGATAATTTTATTTGCATTGTGCACAAAAACGACCCCACGTAACTAACCTAATCGTAGAGCAACAAAAATCAAACTTGCAGTAGAAAATTCACGCTTGAAGATAATTAGCCAGAAATATGCCCCTAATTGATCAAAATTTCAATGCTCATCCACTTTATTGCGTCAAAATTCAAAATATCCTACGTGCACAAGAAACATGATCGTGAATGAGCTACAAATAGTAGGTGTAAGCATACCATAGACCCTCTCGGAGATCTCAAGAAGCCGATCCGGGGGCTTCCGATAGAAGAAGCGTCTGAACAGCGCCATCTAGTGGCGCTGTTACACCCCCGATCGAATCCACAACCCTTTCTCCACTTCAATTTCTCTAAATTTCCCTCAATTTGAGTTTAATAACTACCAGATCTCCACTTTTTTAGCAATCACTCCAACAATGCCAGCAATAATTGCCAGCAATTTTTCAAACATCACAATTCAATTCAAACAATTATTATAATCCGAGCTGGGAATTTTCACCCACAATTCAGAAACAGTAAATTGACGTAATTCTAGTTACGTAGTGGAATGAGGAAGAGAGACTGACGAAAAATCTACAAACAGAAAGTAGAAGCAGTGACAGTATAGAGATCGAGGTCAAAAAAAGTGGATGAGGGTGAGTTTCAGCTTTTTGAGGGGAATTTTTGACGAATTATTATTCTACAGCTCTGAAAGTAAGAATACATTTTCACTCTTGTTATGATGGGGAATATATGGTTGAAAAAAATGAAAAATTATTGATGTAATATAAAATATTATTTTATTAAAAAATGTGTTATTGAAAATGAGTAAAAGAATGAGAATGAAAAAAATAATATGAACCAAACAAGGCCATAATATTGTAAAATTTCATTGAATTACTAAGGGCCCGTTTGATTCTCATTATTGTAAAATGAGAATTAAAAATATAGTCGTTATTGGGTCCCACACAAGAGATAGAAATTCAAAATTGATGACTTGATGTGATGGATAACGGTCATATTTTTCATTTTTATGGATGAAAAATGAGAAACAAACAGAAACTAAATTCTAATGCATTCGTTTAGAAAAACATGTTGAATTACTAAGGGGTCATTCTCTTTGTTGTTTTCAAACCGTTTTCTATTTTCGATTTTTTAAAACGGTGAAAACACGTTCTCTTTCTCATTTTCGAAAACGGATTTTTGAAAACACAAAAAAAAAATTGTGAAGAAAACGCAAAACGACCAAAATGCCGTTTTGGGCGTTTTCTTCACAAAATGTTCCTCCAGTGGAAAACACGGGAAACAGCCAAAACGTCTCCCCCTATCTTCTGTCAAGCCACACTCCACCGCGACTTTCCAACCCTCTAAACTCCAGCCAACCTCCTCTAAAACGGCCAAATTAATATACCATTGTGAAACTCTCAATCCCCTCTTTAATTACCACACAAACAACAATTCAATCATATATCAAAATCGATCAAAAAAAAAATCCTCAAAAACTGATTCAGCACAAAATGCTTCTGTCGAAACCTCAACATCCGACAACACCCAAGGTCGAGCACCACAACGGATCGATTGCCCACCCCCAGACGACTCCAGCCATGACTTCAAAACTCACCGACGGCTTCCATAAGATCAACCTATTCTGGAGATAATCGAAGGTGACCAATGATAGTATTGGATAGGCCTTGTTGAAAGGGGTGGATTGGTGGTGGTCCGCGATCGGAAAGGTGGTCGGCGGTGGTGTTTATAGGCCAAAACAGTGATTGGTAGCGCAGTTGTTTTGGCTGATTTCGGCTGATTTTCAACTAAATAATCTGCGGACATTGTAGGGAGAGGTCAGGGGGTTCGAATGATGCAGGGATCTGGTGGTTTAAATGGTGGGTGGTGGTCGGTTTGTCTCTGGAGGGGGCGTTTTCCGACTTGCTGGAGAATGGGAAAAATTGAAAACAATGTAAACGTGTTTTAGAGCAAGTGTTTTGAGAAATAATTTTACAAAATGACAAAAAGAACGTGTTTTCGATAATATCAAAATGGACACTCAAAATACAAAATGAATTCAAAACTCAAAATTGAAACACAAGGATAATGGCCCCTAAATTTCATTGAATTACTAAATTTCAATTTGATTTTTCCCAACTTTATTACTTGTTATCTTTCAAATTAATTAAAATATATATTTAATTGATAATCATACTATAGCCAATCTTTCATGTCCCTCATTGGCATGCTAAGTTATCACCGTGAAATAATGATAGCGATAAACATTAACCCTTGAGAGTTAGGGCAAAGTCATGTTTGTTTATTTTTTGATACTCAGGTGTCCACATTCGACAACTAATCATGAGGTCACACTTGGCTCCTCGAGATGCAAACCAGATAAATCGTAAGATGTGTCCCAAATTGGTCAAGGTCCAAGAGCCACCTCCACTGCTCTGTCAAAGTGCCCCGGGGGGCAATCATGTTTGTTTATTACATTGTTGAAGATAGTATTATTATATCATTACTCTACATCATAAAAGTGTGGAAATTAAGAATGTTTTTTAACCTTTTAGTATTCAATATGTCGTCGTAACCTCAATTTTATCATTTTCATTTCGAATATTCCATGTAGGGTCCGTTTGATTGTAATAATGGAATTTTGGTGTAAAGAAAATGAATTTTATGGAATTGAATTGCCTATAACTTGTTTTGTTGAGAATTATCAATTAATTGTGTTTGATTGATATAATTTATCACCTGAAAAATATTGAAATTTTCGATCTTTTAGTGTTCATTTGGTTTTATTTTTCATGAAAATTGTCCATTAAAAATATATAATTTGTTTCCATTGCAAAAAAAAAAATGCTTAAAAAACCAATTCCTACCAAAGTGGTGGGAATTGATTTACCTCAAAAAGCGAGAAAATGTGACAAACCAAAAAAAGATGAAAAATCAATTACTTGGAAAATATTTCCTATCAAATACTCTAAAAAGTGGAAAATGGAAAAAAGTTTTTCATCTTCCATGGAAAACTTGCCCTATTAAACAAGGCCATAGTGATTATGGAAAGGATTAGTTATTGTCGGTGTTCTAAGAAGTGCATCTTAAACACACGCCCTCTTGCTTGGCAAGTAATTTTTTCTTATTTTGAAGTTCCGCGTATAAAGGAAATAAGTCTAACAAAAAATGTACCTTCACTCAATTCCAATCCGTAAACGTAGTTTTCACACATGAATAAAACATTATTGATTTAAAATATTTAGATTTTTTATTATTATATATTTGTTTGAAATTTGAAAATATGTATGAAATTTTTATAAATTTTTAAGTTATACATTATTTTATGGGTAATTGGCACAAAACGTCCCTACCTTTGGGATTGATTTTGGAAACCGTCACTAACTTTCATTTCTTGGCATTTATACCCTTACCTATCACTTTTCGTGCTCTGAACGTCCTTTTCACCATATTTTGACCATTTTACCCTCCATTCAAATAAAAGAAAAGAAAAACTAGAGAATTAATTGCAGTCATACTTCCAAATTTTTTAAAAAGTACAAATTAGTCCAAAATCTTTATTAAAACATTAAAAATAATAATAATAATAATAATAATAATAATAATAATAATAATAATAATAATCTCTCTATCTCTCTCTTCTCGCCTCTTCCTCCCTACGGCCACCTTCCTCCTCCAAAAAACGACCACCAACCGCCACCAAAGCCGTCGGACATCACCAAAATTGGAACCACCTTATCTCCCTCTACAACCTCCATCCACCAACTGCCCGTAAATTAGTCGAAAAATGTCTCCAATGCTCTCCCCAATACAGCGCATGTAGTCACGATTTTTGTCCAAATAACTCCACCTTCGACCACTTTCTTGATCGTGGACCACCACCACAACACTCTCCTTAACTAGGCGCATCTAGCCCTACCTTGGGTCATCGTCAATCTTGCTCAGAAACGGCTGGATTTATGGGAGTCCTAAGTGAGTTACGTGCAAGTTCGGCCCTCACAAAATCGATGAAGTTTTTTTGTTGCAAACACTCAATTCTGCACACAACATCAATTCATGATGATAATTTAATAGGTCAAACACCAATTGATCCAATTAATAATCCAATTAATGGACTGAAATCGAATTTAACCAAGGAGAGTGAGATGAATGTTCAGGCTTCAGTTGATGATGGTATTGATGTTAATGCTTACAATTCGACCAAATGCATGATGTAGAGGTTATTACAGCAATGGGCAATGATTCAATTGAAGGGATTGAAGGCTAAATGATCTTCAATTGTTCTCCCCAACCTACGGGAACTCCCTTTAAATCTAAATTGATGGCTTATGAAATGGATGTGTGGGTTAAACTCACCGGTGGTGAAGGGAGCATTTTCCGACGATTTAGGCGGCGGTGGGTGGAGGCCGTAGGGAGAGAGAGAGAGAGAGAGACAGAGAGAGAGATTTTTTTAATGTTTTAATAAGGATTTTGGACTAATTTGCACTTTTTAAAAAATTTTGGGAGCATGACTGCAATTAATTCTTTAGTTTTTCTTTTCTTTTTACTTGAATGGAGGGTAAAATGGTCAAAATATGGTGAAAATGACGTTCAGCGCACGAAAAATGATAGGTAAAGGTATAAATGTCAAGAAATGAAAGGTATGGACGGTTTCCAAAATCAACCACAAAGGTAGAGACGTTTTGTACCAATTATCCTTTTTTTATTTAGAGCTTTGCTTGGGGTACATAGGGGCTAACATAGGGGTTGACATAATACTCACATGAGATGGGTCAAAAGTGGGTCCCATCTCATGTGAGTATTATGTGTACCATTATGTAGGAAAATTATGTACACTTATCATTTTCCTTTTATTTATTTGTTGGTCTAGCATAATTAAAGTAATATGAAATAGTGAAAAAAAAAACATTTTATTATACCTAAGCTTCATTTAGGCATGTGTAAGTTCGCAAGGCTTGAACCTGTACTTCCACGACTGTCACGGCTTATGTCTTTTAGAACTTTGGTTACTGTATAGGTACAAATCAACAATTTTCATCAATTTAAGAGCATCTCCAAGAGACTCTCTATTTTTGAAGAGCATATTCTATCATTTGGAGAGCATCTATAAATTTAAAGAGTTAAAATTTTGATGTACTCCAACAAACTCTTTATATTTAACACTTAAATTTATTATTCCCAAAAAATATTTATTATTTTTCTTTATCTTTTATTTTAACTAGTTTTTCTATAGATTATTTTATTGATTTTCTACATTGAAAATTGAAACTTTTTGAATGCATTTAATTATAGAGAGTGAGTTGGCTCTCCAAATTTGGAGAGCCAAACCCACTTTCTAAATTAAAATCTTAATTTAAAGAGTCTATTGGAGCATGATTTTACATGTTGACTCTTTAAAATAGAGAGCATCTCATGTTTAAAGAGTCTGTTGGAGATGCTCTAAGGGACTATAGGTGCCTAGATGTGAGTGATTTGTGGAATTTAAAATTAAATTGAAATTCAGTATGCTAATTGAGATTTTACTAAAAAATTTCAGAAATCATAAAATATAAAAAAAATATATAACACCGCATACATGTGAATAAAAAAAAAAACCTCATAAAATAAGTAAATAATCAATCAATTTATCTTAAGAAAATATTTTTAAAAATTTATAATTCGGCCAATTAATCCTTGACTTAGGAGGTGTATTCAACTTGGAGTTTATTTAAAAAAAAACTTCATAAGTTATGTTTTAAAAACTCTGAGAGATTTTTATAACCCTATAAGTTATTCCTAAAAATTTAGTGCCACATATGTTAATTTTGAAAAATTTTTAGAACATTTAATACCTCACAAGTTTTACAGTTACTTAAAGTTTCTGTTTTTTTTTTTTTTTCTCAACATTTGTCTCTTATTCACTTCAACATTATGAGAGATTTAAAAAAAATTCTCTTTAAAATACTTTTGATTACATGGGGAGGGAAAAGAGAAAGGTAGAGATAGAACCATCCCCTCCTCCTATATGAGAACTCCACCCTATTGCATTAGACTTGTATGAGTTTTATTGTAAATGAAAGTCTTAAAAGTATTATGGATTTTATAAAGATCTATAAAAATTTTAAAACGAAAGTACATACAATTATACGGAAGACTTCCATTAATTACATACAATTTTATAAAAATTCACGAATTTCTCAAAATGTCCACCACTTAAAAAGGGTTTATGTCTTTAAAGTCTTAATTAAATATACCTCATTACCTTTAGATCAACATGGGGCAGTGTCGAGCCAATTTTTGAAATGTGTTGGTTGGATTCGATATGTTGATCTGGCTATGGGTCACATGGGCACGTTGATGTCGAAGAACATGTTTTAGAGCGACTACTTTGTCTAGCATATATCTTACTGTCCATCCTGAGTTCTACGTGCTCGATTCTACAATCAATCCTAGATTCATCTATTTAAGGGATGTCTAATTCCGCGTTCTTTTAATTTTTTAGAAGTGTTCAAGAACGCTTTACTCTACATTTGGGCCTCATTAGAGCCTTATTCTGTATATTCAGGTGCAAGCAAGATATTCAATGGGAGGAGGGATATGCATTGCATACACTTGCTTTAAGAAAATAGAACAAAAAAGCCTCAATATGTCTCCAAATGAGATTTAGGTTCTTAATTAATTTTTTTAAAAAATAATTCTCAATCATTTTTTTTAAATTATTGGGTTTGCGACCTTCATTTGTTATAGTACTTGATCATTGACGACGATTTTCATCCAAAAATTACTAAAAAGTTACACCAAGATATTTAATTAAAAAAATAGTTATACCCTCCATATAACCCGTCCACCCATTCCATACTCAACGTTTTTGGCTCCTTCCTTGTTCCCCTCCACCTCGTCGCTCTCTTTCCTCCCAACTCCAACGGCCAACAAAGAGAAATATATGAGGCGGACTATGGTAAAATTGATCTTTATGCTACAACTTTAACAAATATATTCTATTGACGAGATGGATTGATCAATATAAGTATGTATTTAACTGTGTTGGACTAGCACAAGTCAATTTAAGAGGCCAGGCATGCCATCACACAAGTTGAACTCACGCAAATCTAGGCTCAATTTTCCGGGCCCGTGAGCCGTTATTTTATTTTTAATTTTATCAAAATTTATAATTACAATACAATGTTTCGTCAAATTAATTAAAATTTCTATTGCGGCCTGGCCCTCGATTTAGGTTGGAAATTGGCAATCAAATATCAACCATGCTTCACGTAATATATGCTGAAATCTACTAGTAATGCAATATTTCCAAAGGAATCTATAACCAATTCCGAAATTCCATAAATTGGATTTCTCTTTCATTGTCAAACTATGTTTTTACAATTCTCTTCGACAATTTGGAGGTATTTGTTTTCCCAGTTTTTCATGTGTCATTACATTACATTACCTATGCTAAGAATTCGGATATTCCCACAATAAATAACATCTACATTGCCTCAAACACAACACACATGATAATTTATTACCTCCATTTTAATTTTTTTTTGTTCTTGCAACCATTTTTTCTTTCTTTCTTTTCTTCTATCGTTCATTTGTTCTAATGAATCTTTTCTTTAAAAAAAAAAATTGCAGAATTGACTGTCAAAAGCATGTAAAGGTTAGCTTTAACACATTTACAAAATGAATTAAAATTGAAGACATTTATGTAAATTGAGCGGGGATATAATATCCATGTCCTTCTGCAAGTCCTTTTCTAATTTCAGAGATAAATTGTACGTCATATCCTAGGCTAAGCCTTAATTTGTAGGTATACAATCAATCGAGTACCCTCCCTTTTCAAGCCTAGTCAATGAGGTTGTTCCAAATGGTTAACATCCTTATGGGATGCCATCGTTGTGGATGAAGCTACTTGCAAAGGACTACTTCCAAAAGAAAATTGGTTATGTGAAGTCACCTAACTAGAAATATGGGCTTACACTAGACGTTGGTTTTGAAAAGAGAGGTGAGATGTAACCTAGTTGTATTCCAAATCACTAGGCTAAGACTTAGTTTGTGGGATTATAACCAATTGAGCACCATTTTTTCAAATTGGTTTTAAGGGTGAGTTCTACCTAACGTGGTTGTTACAATCTGACCCGAACCCTACTTGGCTGCTAGCGACCAGTCGTTTACACCTTTAACCATACCTCTAATTTATAAAGGAGTGCTGGTTTAGCAAATGTCTGATGAAAGTTTTGGGTTTCACTCTCTGAATCATAATGAAGTGGTATTATGCATGATGTTCCAATAGTTGATCTTGAATTGTATAATTTGATTCCTTGGGGGCTGTTTTTAGAATTATGAAGTGAAAAATATCTTCTGTGCAGTTGATAGATGATCTAGAAATCAAAGAAAGGGTTATGCTGTATAGATCATATGGTCTTATATATTTCTCAATGGTGAAATTTGTGTGGAGATTTAGGAGAATAACTTATTACGCGTATCACATCAATAGCTTCGTTTGACATAGCCAGTGGTTGTGATTTCCTTTCTCAATGGACAATGAGGCTGCAGTTGATATTCCATGACGCCAGTCGCCAGTTAATACTAAGCCTGAAGTTGGCATCAGAAGGAACTCAACTGCAACTTCGGCATTCAAAGTAGTGAGCCAAAGCCTATACCGACTTACCCCAGAGCTTCAACAGGTTCTTGCCACGATTTCTGCAAATACGGCTTGAGACGACAGGATATTCAAACAAAAAGTGAGATTCCTAGATGACCAGCTAAAACTGCATGAAGTACACTGCACGAGGAGAACATAGCGAAGTTACAGAGTTCAAAGTCTAAGAACATTAACATCCCCAAAAAGGTTTCTAATAAGAAATCAGACACCTAGAAAACTACCTACTTTGAAAATGTACCCGAGAAGACATTGAAGTTGATGACGAAAGCCAAAGTGATAACGAGAAAACAGATTCGAGGTCAGAATACAGTAGGAGGACGACAAATGGAAACAAGGATTGCTCCCCACGAAAGCTCGAGTTCAAGAAAGGAGAACTGCATGACATTCCATCAGACAGTAATAGTTGCAGATACTCAAATTTAGGCAATCAAAAACACTCGACAAGAACCAAAACGTAAAAGCTGAATACGAAGAGAAAAACTTAGGAAACTAGTTTCTGATGGATCTTATGGCTGCTCCATTGGTACAGATAGTCGCATCATTCTTCGACCACAGGCTGTACCGCTGTAGAGAAAAAGGATGCTTCTCCAGGCTTGTACAATAGCGTGATTAAAGAGACAGCAAGTAAACTTGTTCAGACAAGGAAGAGTAGACTGAAGGCATTGGTGGGTGCTTTTGAAACTGTAATTACCCTCCAGGACAACAAATCCTCAAAAACATTTAGAACAATCTAATGTGTTTTTGTACGTCTTTCCTTGTCCATAATTTAGTCTTTTTTCCCCTTCATATTGAATAATATGTGGGCCCTCCTGCTACCCAACTAGGAATTGCAGGATTCAAGTCTTTGTGTAAGGGCAAGTTATTATGCTGCTTGTACTTGACATAAAAAATGTTTTACCACATTATGACAATAAATAAGAAAATTCTCAAGTAGTAAATGAGGAGAATTTAGAATGGTGTGAAGGACAATAAATGATGATCTCAGGGCGCAGGCCCGTGCATTAGTGCAACGCATAGGCGACACTTAAAGGACTGTGTATCAGCATAAAATTTAGTTGGTTAAAAGTGTAGATAGTTTGAAAAGTTACCATAGAGTTCCAAATTCACACGCACGAGCAAAACACTCACATTTCCGAATGCAGAAAAGAAAGGTTGCTGGTGGAAGCCAAGGCATTAATCATGACACCGAACTTCATCAACATTAGTTGTTGTTATAATGGAGCCACGATGCCTACTCACTTGTATCACAATCACTTTGTGTTTTTACCTTTTCCTCTTCTTCTCTCGTAAATAATTCCCCTGTTTATTCTATTTGGAGGCCGGCAAAAATGATATATTACTCGAAATATACAGAGTCTTGAATAATGGAATAAAATGCTGTGACAAACATAAGTAGAGGCTTTCAAATGAATATGTTTAAAGAATTTGTTGTCATCAGATCAGTCCGCAATTTGTAATCACCACCTTTAAATAAGGCCGATTGAAGCCTCGCTCTGCTACCACTGCTCTTTTATCTCCTATTATCTTTGCTACCCTGTTCGCCAATAAGAAAATTTCCATCAGTACCATTAAGACACAGTTACGATGACAGCAAATATAATCCTGCACTGGCAGATATAGTGCAAGTTTATTCTGTGGGCAACTTGGATGTGTGGTGTTAAGGTTCCAACGGCCAAAGCCATCCAGCCCTTGCACCATTTGATCTAGAATTCAAACTTCAAGTATGCACAAGGATAGTTGAAGCTACCAATACAGATTGATTGAGGAGATTTCCAAAAATTCCTTGAAGATGTTTACAAGTTAATCGGCGAGCATGTAGTCTGTGTATGTTATGGCCATTTTACTAAGATGAACAACCTTGTTATAAGAGATGGACATGTTTATTTACTTAAATTTAGTTTTCAACACGTCCTTTCAATTTTTTTATAAGTAAGTGGTAGCAGGGCCTTTTTTGCTCTGATACATTATTTAACTTGCTCAACTAAAGCATGGGCTGTTAGAGACATTTATTTGCTTAAATTTACTTTCAACCGTCAAGTATAACAAGATGATTCTATCAAGAATGTACCTGAAATAAGGAGAACCCGTGTTCTCTTGCACAGTCTTCACTTCGCTTATTTTCTTTACAACATCCATTCCCTCAAGGACTCTTCCCACAACCAAAGTCGAGGCATCCAACTCCGGAGAGTCTTTAGTGGCAATGAGAAATTCTGTCCCATTTGGATCCATTCCTACTTCTTCTTCGTCAATTTCCAGCTTCCCTTTCCGTGCAACCAACTTGATTTTTGGAGGTGGTTTTGAGGGGTCCCTAACAATAATACCTACACTCGTTGCCACATTCTTAGTTCCTGAACAATTGTCATTCTGTTTCTCCCATTCATTCAGGAGAGCATCAACGGCCACATTACTCCCTGTTTTCCTTGCAAGCTCAGCATCAACGCCATACGATCTTAGTCCACCGTGTTGCACATAGTTTGGCATGATTTTAACGAATTCTTTTCTCCTATAACTAACACCTGCTGTCCCACTAACGAGTTCGCTGAATCTTGTCGCTCCAAAGGGGACAGTATCACCATATAGCCCAATGATTATTCGACCAACAGCCTCTCCATTAATTGCTACATCAAGAAATGCCTGCTTTGTCGGAGTTTGATTTGCACAGTCGAAATTCTCTTCTGCACCAACTTTTTCTGCTCTTGCATTGGATAGGTGCAATGGCTCAAGAGTATGAGAGCCTACGAGTAAAAGCAAGGACGAAGTGGTGAAAATTGAGAAATCTCTACGGGATAATTTAGTACAATGTTTGAGAGGAGACGCAGAAGAAGTGGGCAGGCTTTGATTTTTCGGAAGAGGAGGCTGAATTGGTGCAAACACCGGAGTCGAGGGGGGTTGAATGATTTTTGGATTAGACCACATTTGGTTCGATTATGAAATGTTAAGGAAGTTCTTGATTCGTGTCTGAAATCCACAAGGTATATGCTGTGTTGTTTCTTGATCACTGATTACAACAACTTTTGGATAAGAAAACAGAAAAGCAAATTCGTATGGCAAGAAATGTCCACTGGTTCATCATCACTTGTAATACTTGAGTGGGTCATCTCAATATATAAATGTTGAATTTGTGGCCCCAATCTTATATATTTACACATAAATACGTCGTATTCATATAAATACAAAAACAAATCAGAGTTTGAAGAAGGGAAGGCCAAAGTAACACTTGACCTGCAACAAATGAGAAGGATTTATTCAATAACGACGCCCTCGATGCTTTCTATCTGATTGTATCGAAAGGCCCAATGAATTGGAATTTTCATAGTGTTCCAGATCATTTCGTGGCAAACAGATCATTTAGATGAAAAGGATTAGCCTAACAAGGAACAAACCTTTTCCTATATTTTTCGATAGGTGAATGGGGTGGGACGGCCCTACCGTTCTCATCCTTTTGAATGTCCCACTTCTACTCCAATAATTGTTTACGATAAGACACAGTAGGGATCTCGATTTGATTAGGATTTATTTTGAATCACTAAATAAGTGTCCAGGTTGTGAAAACATTATATTTGTTTTTTTGATTAATAATATTTCAGTTTTTTCATTAATTTGTGAATTCAAATATTTTTCACATTCGTTCGAGCGAACACCCATTCGAAATTGTGTGTTACGAACAAGACCCTTTTATTATTCTTTACATTTCCGTCCTGTGTCGCTATTGGGCAAGTAAGGTCGGGCAAAAGAAAATGCCACAGACAGCACTGAGTGGTTCCCTATTAAGGCCTTTTGATTTATTTAAAAAAAAACCAGAAAGAATATTCTCATTGAAATTAAAATAATGATAATAAAAAATTGACAAATCCGGAGACTAAGCAACATGATAGGGATTAAAATCTTAATTCTAATTTAAGTCAATTTCAACAATTAATTGTAACTACATTTCATGGAATCCTCTACTTTTCATACTTTTCATCAACTTTTATCAAAATCTGCTAAAAATATTATTTTAATCCCCCACCAAACTCATGCCATATCAACCAGCAACAATGTAAGAAATATCTCCGTTAACAAAAAAGCCACGCGAGAGCACAATGGCAAATTAAATAAATAAAAAAACAAAAAAGAAGGTGAAACTTTTTAAGTCTTACAATCAAGATTACAACGAGCATCAAATGTACCGTGTTCATAGCTCCACGAGCAATGTGAAATCATAATTATAAGACTGAAATAAGGAATTCTATGAGCATGTTTTTTCAAGTTTTGAAACAAGCAATTCCTTGTCTTCGAGTACCTGGTTATCTACCATAAGCTTTTCCTAGTTTGAAGATCACATCTCTGCTCAACAACCTCCATCTCTCAATTTGCTTCAATAGTAACCAACCCCTCGAAAATCTTTTGATGTTTGCTCAGCATCACTTCCGTTTCCTAAAAATAATAGACGACCTGCAAGGCCATATAATTGGAGTTAATATAAGAATAAAGATTCGTCAAAGTAGATTTGTCAATCTATTTAAAAGATTAGATATACCACAAACATTATATAATACATTTGTTGTAGGATAAATTGCGGCTGATATCCCCAACCTTTACTTCCTTTTGCACTTCTATCCCCAATCTTTATTTCTTCGCACTCATATCCCCAACCTTTAACAAATTAGCAGACGTTGCCCTCAATAACAGTTTCCTTCCAAACTTATTGTTATATGGCTTGAAATGTTAATTTTGCCCTTAGGTTTATGTAAACAAGAAAAAGAATTATAAAAATGAAAAAAGAACAAAAACTAGAACACTGATCCAGAGTTTAAAGCAAGCTCTATACTGAAACTGAGTAGTCTTCTAAGATCCAGATTGTATGCCCCGCCCCCAAAACAACCCACACACGCACCAAAAAAGAAAAAAGGAATAGAAAAACACGTGCACGACTACAACAACATTCAAGATCCATCCTTTAATATATAGTCAAATGCAAAAAAGCCCAAACATATGCGCTTGTTTGTCTATGCTTTTAAGTGCTTATATGCAGTGGGTCTCAAGTATGGTTAAAAAGTAAATAAAAGTAATGGGTCTTACAAAATGTATGGATAAAAATAGAGTTTAACTAGCTGATAAACAATTATAAGCTTTGCCAAACAAGCACATTGTAACATAAACATGGAATTCCACACAGATAAATTTAGAGAACGGGTCCCACTAGTTAGGGACTGGCATATAGTTTCCTCCATAACTTCCATTACTCAGTTCTCAGAAGTCTCCGGCAGTTTTCTTCTCCGTAGAAACAAAAAAATTTCAAGGGAGTTGAATCCTTTACACACCTGATGTCTCTGAAAACTATTAATCTATCCTTAACAACCCCTCAATAAAAAGCATCGTACAAGTGTCTTATAAAAATACTCTTTACACTAAATGTATACAGGATGGTGAAAGTGAGGAAGCCCCTACTGCACATGAACTAGAATTCCAAGCATTTCAGATGTTTATGTAGCTAAGTTTATTGTTTGTGCTGGCTAGTGGCATTCAAGATGACATTGGAGAACACAATTATTGAAGGCAAAAAAAAAATGTAAATTATGTTGAAGCCCGAGAAATATGGAAGAATGAAATTTATACAAAAGCTTGAAGTGATTGATGTTGCATTTATTTAGTATTCCAGAGCCTAACGAGGCTTCATAAGGAACATCCAAAGAAAAGGCCAAGCAAATAAGGAAATTGATCTACAAACGGATGCGCAGCAGAATGTGTATGACAGATAACTCGATGATATTAACATTAACAACAGTAGTATTCACTAATAACTGAGCAAAACAAGTTTTGAAATTCACATCCCATGAAATAACAGAGATCTAGAAAGCTGTGGGCAGGTAGAGCAACAGAAAATAAATAATTAATAAAGGAGGATAAAGCTTAATATACCATTCCGGCGTATTGCAATCTCTCGTATTCGCCAAACAAGACCAGTTATGGGATCATTGAAGATTTTTGTCTCCAGATTCCCCTCCACATACAGGATGGAACTACAATAGGCATAAATCAAGAAGATATTAGGATCTGCATCTAAAATTGAAAAAAAAAAAAATCAAGAGCTAGTCAAAGCTGCTAATTGTCAAACCGCACAAGGTATGCAACACAGTGATAACCACAAGTTATAATTATCCTGCAATTGTTTCTAAAGTGCTTAGAGTAGGTGACCTAAGTTATATTAGGTATAGAACCCCCTTCTCTCCCAACACAACCAGATATAAAGAAGATGGAAGGTTCATGACAAGTACAATAAGCTTTACAAAATCACAAATTACAATACCATCAAATATTTTGTTTCTCAACATTACAAGCAAAAAATCTGAAATATTTACAGGGCATAAGAAGGTTCACAAACTAGAAAAGTCCTCATTCTTCATTTCTGAGAAGCTCTCAAGCTNCAACACAGTGATAACCACAAGTTATAATTATCCTGCAATTGTTTCTAAGGTGCTTAGAGTAGGTGAACTAAGTTATATTAGGTATAGAACCACCTTCTCTCCCAACACAACCAGACATAAAGAAGATAGAAGGTTCATGACAATTACAATAAGCTTTACGAAATCACAAATTACAATACCATCAACTATGTTGTTCCTCAACAGCACAAGCAAAAAAGCTGAAATATTTACAGGGCATAAGAAGGTTCACGAACTAGAAAAGTCCTCATTCTTCATTTCTGAGAAGCTCTTAAGCTCGTGTGGTGCCATATAAGTAACAATTTGTAGTGTTACCACATATTAACCAATCATCAAAATTATACAGTTACTCATAAAGGTAAAACGCTAGTTAAAAGGGACATTGAGTTGAGCGGGGAGTTCGGAAATTACCCTGGAATAAGATTTTTCACGGCAAGTTCCCCCAGCCTCTCAGGATAAACTGAGACCCTATGCCACTGAACCGCGCACCTATTTGCATATTCCCTGGGTTCCTCGTTATCCAAAGGCCTCCTGTTGTTTCGGATGCCCCCAGTACCAAGTGAAAGCAGAGTCACCATATGACCACTCTTCAATTTCTTCTGTATAGGAGTCTGCCCCACTTGCCCCACCAATATTGCCTGCTCCACCACCAACATCAAGTCCCACACAACCATCAAATTATTAACACACATCAATAGATTTTTGTGTTCATGTGTTGCACAAAACTGACTGAATAATATTTTTTCTTTATCAAACTACACATTTTGACGCATAAATACAATACAAAGCAATCAAATGAACAATTCAATTGCGCAAATAAGATATCCCATAACTAAAATATGTCATGAAACTAAGCACCAAAAACATTGAGATATTTTCATATATAATTGCATATGGTTGGGTGAAATGTACCTTGTAAATGCCTGTATCCAACCCGTTCTCGAGGGGTCTTTCGGCATTAGGCCGCTGCTTACTTGAAGAGGGATGGGCAGTCTCGCCGTCGGACTCGGATTCTTCAGAAAATAGACTTTTGGTACAGAAAGAGTGTAAAGCTGAGGGCTTTGCCCTTGGCCTTGAGAAAATTGCTCCACCGAGTTTTCTTGAGAGTGAAGACGCCATTGATTATGAGCTCTAATTTCCCTTTTCCAGCTTTTTTGCCAGTACAATTTTGTATTGTTTTAAATGTTCTTTTTCAGTGAGTTCTTTTGATTTATTTTTCGGGAAAATTAGGGTTGATGATCCCTAACCTTTTCAGCTAGTCAGGATGTAATTTTTCAATCTTAAAAACTAGAGTGAATTGTTTCAAAAATCACTGAACTTATATCATCTTCACGGACTGTTTACCAAACTTCATTGTGCTTTACAGTACTTACTTTACTTTGTCATTTATCTCTCCATCCACCACTGTCAAAAAGTCCGTTTGTTGGGCGCTGACGTGACGGATTGAATTCCTAGATAGTGTCTGACGGTCGTTAAAAAATTATAAATCAGCAAAATCATTATCTCATCACTCATCCAACTTACACTATGTCACAGTTTACTCATCGAATTTCAAAATACTTCTCAATGGTCACTCATCTTTAAGAATTGCACTACATCCATTATTCGTTATATTTTATTCACTTTGTTGCTAATTTATTGTCCGAAAATTTCACGAGTAATTAAAATCATCAAAAAATTTATAACTCAACCAATCCATCAACACATGAAAATCACCATATGATCAATTGAATACAATTAGAAGTAAAATCGGTGAAATATTTTCACAAATCAAGTTAAGTTTCCGATTTTCAGCTTTAGATTGAAACCTNCATGGTGATTTTAGTAAATTGATTGTTTCATAGAGTTGTGATTTTTTTATCTTTTGTATCTTATTATGTGGAGTTTCTATGCGAATACTAGCAACGAAGTGAACGAAATAGACTGATAATGAATGGAGTGCAATATCTCAAAGATGAGTGACCTGAGAAGCATTTTGAAGTTCGATGAGTAAATTGTATCATAGTGTAAGTTGGATGAGTGATGAAATAATGATTTTGTTGATTTGTAATTTTTTAACGGCCGTCAAACGCCACTCAGGAATTCTGTCCGCCACGTCAGCGTCCAACAAACGAATTTTTTTGACAGTCTGTGGATGGAGAGGTAAATGGCAAAATTGAGTCAGTACTGTGAAGTAGAATGAAATTCGGTGAACAGTCCGTGACTATGGTATAGGTTCAGTGATTTTTAAAACAATTCACTCTAAAAATTGAGGTTTCAAATTCTCAACCAACGTATGGGACTTTTGACCCCGATAACCAATAGTAGAAACCGTTGTCCGAATTAAAATCTAAATTTTAATTTAAATCAAAATAAACAATTAATTTTAAATAATACACTTTTGATGGGATCCACAATTTTTCAATCACATATCTCATAAAATTTTATCAAAATTTATTAAAAATTTGACAAACAAGGGCTTAATCGTTAAAAAGTCAAATTATAATTGAAACGACGGATATTAGAAGATATTAACCTTAACCAGAAAATTGCTTAACTTAGGATAAATACAAATTACAAATTTATAATGTCATTATTCATCGAATACTTGAAAATGGAGTTTTCGGGGATAAGACGAGAAAGTAGTGTCGAGCCGAGCCGAGGAGCATGAACTTTAGACCTTATTGAAAATATTATCTTCGACTGAAGAAACAATATTTTTGGGATCATTTCGAACCCGTCAAAAGCAATTAGGAGGATCAGACTCAAATATTCAGTCCAAAAGTGCTCTGCCAAGTAAATGAGGAAAATCGGCCAGCTAATAAGTTGAAACAAGAAAATTTAAAACAAGTTCTACAAAGGAGACAATTTGGAGAGAAAATCTAGGAAAGTGAGACTTCTCTCTTTATGACGGGGATAACTCACAGATACCGATTGCAGCACTTGTATGGTTGTTTTTTTGCTAATAACCAATGTAAAAATGACGAGTAATCCTGTAAAAAGTTGGGCAGAATTTCCCCGTAAACAAAGCATTGCTCTTATTTTCTTGTTTTTATGCTGCTGCATTTTCACTACAGTTGGCTGCTACATGTTTATATATTAAACCTCTGTTTTTCGTGCATTAAAGAGGTTTTTTTGGGAAAAAAAAAAAAAGAGTCATGCTACAGGAACCACTGGGATGACTGCGCCGGTGACCGCGCACACACATGGAGGGTCGGGATTATTTTATTAGGGTGGGACCCTCGCCTCTGCTGTGAGGGCCCGGTCATCCCTGCGGGTCGTCTAGAATAATTCAAAAAAAAAGAGTTTTGGATAGTGATTTTTTGAAGAATGTATGGTTAAAAAGTAGAAAAAAATGTGAGTTTACGTGCAAATTTTTTTTTGATTTTAATAAAGACAAACAAGGGCTAAATTTCCCTCCAAATTTAGTTCCCTTAAAAAAATAGAGTTTTGAATAGTGATTTTTTGGAGAATGTGTGGTTAAAAAATAGGAAATATTTTAGATTTACATAAAAAATATTTTATTGTATAAATGTATGATTAAAAATGAGTATAAAAATTAAAAAGTTTTGGAATCACAGTTGTCAGAGCTCAGTAAGAGTAAATAAACATGTTTTTTATATTTAAAAAAATGTGTGCCCAGTTGTGTACTCTTTGGATTTATTACTTGTCTGCTATACATGTACACAAATTCCCTTTTATGGGCTGTTATTTATACATGACGCTTATTATCATAATTTTTTGTCAATGTGGACAAAGGAAATGCTTTCATTGGCAACTTTATTTTGATTCATTAAAGCAACAAAAAAAAAATTTTGTTACTGTTTCATGTATAATTTACCTTTCTTTTCATTGTATTGAAGCTTTCTCTCTTTCCCTGATTACGTTCTTGCAGTGATCTGGAAAGTGAATATGGAAGAGAAGTGTGAAATTGCGAAAGATATAACTGAAGTAATATACCATCTGTAAACCAAATTCTTATTTTCCTTAAGAATTAGGCCAGTTCTTGCGTGTATGTTTATTTATTTTATGTCCTTTTCATTTCAGCTAATAGGTAACACCCCGATGGTTTATCTGAACAACGTTGTAGACGGTTGCGTGGCTCGTATTGCTGCAAAACTGGAGATGATGGAGCCCTGCTCAAGTGTTAAAGACAGGTTTACCTCATCAGTTCTAGTTTTGCTCTCTTTGTAACTCATTTTATCTTGCTTGTGGACGATTTATAGTTACGACGTTGTCAAGTATGCTGCAAATATTCAAATACAGGATTGCTTATAGTATGATCAAAGATGCAGAAGAGAAGGGTCAAATTTCCCCTGGGAAGGTTGGTTTATGACTTCATCTTGAACAAGTCCCCTACAATATTAGATACATCCCATAAATTTTCAGAGAAAGTAGGCTAAAATGTTCTGTATGCTGAAATGATCTTTTTTAAGCCAGCTTGTTTTAATCAAAGTAATCTAAACTGATATTTTCATTTTTTTTGAATAAACTGGAATATGATGATCGAAGACTGTCCTTGTTGAAGTCACCAGTGGTAATACAGGCATTGGTCTTGCGTCTATTGCTGCAGCTAGGGGCTATAAACTCGTTATAGTTATGCCACATACATATAGTCTCGAAAGAAGGATTGTTCTCCGAGCATTTGGAGCTGATTTGCACATCACTGATACAGCCAAGGGCATTGATGGTGTTATTCAGAAGGCTCTAGAGATAGTTGAAAAGACACCGAATAGTTTTTTTCTCAAACAATATGACAATCCTGCCAATCCACAGGTACCTTTACATAAATAAATTGTAGATTGTTTCAGTTCTATTCTATTCATCAAGTTGAGCTCAATATGTAGATTCACTATCAAACTACCGGACCAGAAATATGGGAGAGCTCTGAAGGTAAAGTCGATGCATTTGTTGCTGGAATTGGGACGGGAGGAACGGTCACTGGTGTAGGGAAGTTCCTCAAGGAGAAAAATCCTAAGATTAAGGTCTGGGCAATTTTTGTGAAGAAACAGAGATATGCTTCTCTTATTTTCCATTTTACAGTTCGATTCTTGATTTCTTATTTTTATTTGATCCATTCTGTGTACTCTTTCTTTAACTGTTTCTTTGATTCTCCCCTTTTTCTATTGCATCGCTAACAGGTATATGGTATAGAACCTGCCGAAAGTGCAATTTTAAGTGGAGGAAAACCAGGTGATTCAAATATTTCAGCACGATCCATCTTTACATGGAAAATCGTATTCTTTCTAAATGAGGCTTTCCTCTTTGTGAGGAATTCCCTCCATACTATTTTTAGTTTAGCTGGTCTTTTCCCAACCTCAAACCGGAGGAATTCTTTTAAAGCATTTAAGCTATGGTTATGTGATTTTCAAGTACACGAAGCTTTCTTAGAAAGGTTTATCTATCTGATATTTTTACCATCTATCCCACTTGTTCCTTTCACACAAAAGAAATGTTAATAAATAGAAATATTTGTACAACGGTAATTGCTGCAATTTTACGTGATTTATTGGCATATTCCTTTGCAATATAGTTTCAAAAACGCGATCAAAATTCAAATATGTGGAAGCTATTTTGATATCTATTTTTTTGATACGAGTACGTAGATACTAACTGATGACTAATTTACATGCATTGATGTAAAAAGGACCACATAATATCCAAGGCATCGGTGCTGGTTTCATTCCTCCTGTTCTGGACCTCAACATTCTTGATGAAATAATTCAAGTAAGCGTAAATCTTGAAATAGTATTCAAGGCATGGTTGCTGGTTTACAAGACGTACTTACTTAAACACTGTTCTAGTTCGATTTCATTTAATAACTAGGCTTTTATTTAAAAATGATCCTTCACGTGATAAACTGATAAATTACATGTCCTGAGTGAGGTGTCTGATGTTTTGTAGCTGTACTTGTTCGTAGGTTACTAGTGAAGAAGCTATTGAAATGACAAAATGTCTCGCATTGAAGGAAGGCTTGCTGGTAATGTTCACTGTTAGCCGAGACTCATTTAATGGATTTCTTGAGCAGCTTTTACATCTCATTGTCAAATACTTTTTTTTTACTTTAACTAGTAACCGTTCAATTACAGGTCGGTATTTCATCTGGTGCAGCAGCAGTTGTTGCAGTAAAATTAGCAAAGAGAGTCGAAAATGCTGGAAAACTCATTGTTGTATGTTGGTTTTATTTCATCTACTGATAAATTTTTTTGCCTATTTTCAGACTTGAAACATGTTATCCAGTATCTCCATTTTCAGATATATTGAAACGTGTTATTCCTCCTTACTATACAGGTTGTTTTCCCGAGCTTTGGGGAACGTTATCTTTCGACCATACTGTTTGATTCCTTGCGCGAAGAGGCAGAGAACATGACATTTGATTAGAAGTTCGATGACCTAAATGGTTTGCATTGTATTTTATTTTTTTTTTAAAATAATATGTGCCCAGTGGGGGCGTTTGACTTTGACCCCTACCTCGATTAATAATAGGAAAGGTACGCGCGCGCTCATATATATATATAAATTGTTCAAGAACATTTGAATTTTCTTTTTTTCATTACATGTAACATGATTGTTTTACATATATCACAGTAAGAATTGTGTGGTTATATTGTAGTTTAACAATTATCATTTTGAAGTGCTACATGCTTCATAGAAAGTTACAGAGATATCCCTGAAGTTACTATTTCAACGATGCTCCCTCACTTTTTAAAAATTACAAAAATCTCTCCTAAAGTTTATTGATCATAACAAATTCCCCCCTTTTTATGTGTTTATTCTATATTTTTCATTCTTCCTTCTTATTTTTCTTTTATTTTCAATGATTGCATTACTTTTAGTTCAAAAAATATCATTACACATTTTTGTAAATATATACAAAACATTATAAGATAAGATTTCTCTTAAGAAATTATATATTTTGCTAATACGATTAAAAAAATTAATTATTGATGTTTTAGAATAAATTAATAACATTGATAAAAAAAATTTAAAATATTTAATATACCTTAATTTAAATTATATATTTTGCTAATGCTCATTTTTTATCAAACTAATTTTATTTACTCAAATAAATAAAATTGAAGTATATTTACCTGATTGAACTAGAGGAATGTATAGTTACCGCGAATTTATTTTATTCATTTATAAACACTCGAGCGATTTTCTATCTACACATTTTGAAAAACACACAAGAATATCCACTTATCAATGAGTCATTCTACCTATTTATAATTCAAATTGTTTATAAAAAAACATGCGTAGCCTCATTTGATTATTAGTACCAACTTTTCAGGAATATGTGAATAATTAGTAATTTGAATAAGTGGTTGAAATTAAAAAGTTTGACTTTAACTGGATAGTATAAAGTAACTTAAATGATTTATCACTGTCATTTCATACATTGAAAAAGAAATAGCTAAAAAAGGATTATCAAAAACTAGCCACAGAAATATTATCGAAGCTTCATGTTTACTACCAAACTTTATTTTGTTTCAATCTAATCAATGAAGTTTGCTTTCTGAGTCATGGTGCATCACTTAAAATCCGCTAGTTTTTCTGATGGAATATCAAACATAGTAGTAGACCTTCACATTAATACCGCATCATGTTGTTGTTTCCCATGTCGACATACCAGAAAAAATAAAAAAACTAAAAGAATCAACCGATTGATCAAAATTGAAACAAACAGCAAATTTCAGTGACTAGTTTCATACAATTATAGTTTGCAGACTACCATGAAACTTCACCATAAGTTGAATGACTAACACTACTTTTAACTTTTAAGTTATAATAACCCAACAAAAACAAAAGTTCGGTTAGAAATGCAAATTCGAAATCCTTGATATTCGAGAATGGATTTTGCTACTTTGATAGAAAAATTGTAACAAATTCAGTGACATAATCCTAGTTGACAACAAATGATATGATGGAGATGTTAATTATGTTAAAACAGTATAATGATGGAATGTCATACAACATTATGTCAAGGATTATATCAACCATTATGTTTCATTCGAAAAAAAAAAAAAAAAACAAAACTATAAAAAAAAAAAAAAAAAAAAACATAGAAAAAAAATCTAAATCAAAATAAAATATTTAATATACCTTAATTTGGTAGCATTTTCTTTAACTTTTATTTTACTATACTTTTAACACTCTACTTTAAGTTTACAAATTAAATTAAATTATTATTATCATAATAATAAAAATACAACAAATAACTATGCAATCACTTTGTGCAATACGAATGTAAAATAATTAAAGCTTGATTTAGTAGTTTCTTATTTATTTTTATTTTCTTATACTCTTTAACATTTAGCCCCTTGAGCTCCATTTTTAAAGCTCATTTTTTATCAAACTAATTTTATTTACTCAAATAAATAAAATTGAAGTATATTTACCCGATTGAACTAGATGAATGTATAGTTATCTCGAATTTATTTTATTCATTTATAAACACTCGAGTGATTTTCTATTCACACATTTTGAAAAACACACGAGAATATCCACTTATCAATCATAAGCGGTTGAAATTAAAAAGTTCGACTTTAACTGGATCATAAAAAGTAACTTAAATGATTTATCACTGTCATTTCATACATTGAAAAAGAAATAGCTAAAAAAGGATTATCAAAAACTAGCCACAGAAATATTATTGAAGCTTCATGTTTACTACCAAACTTTATTTTGTTTCAATCTAATCAATGAAGTTTGCTTTCTGATTCATGGTGCATCACTTAAAATCCGATAGTTTTTCTGATGGAATATCCAACATAGTAGTAAACCTTCACATTAATACCGCATCATGTTGTTGTTTCCCATGTCGACATACCAGAAAAAATCAAAAAACTAAAAGAATTAACCGATTGATCAAAATTGAAACAAACAGCAAATTTCAGTGACTACTTTCATACAATTATAGTTTGCAGACTACCATGAAACTTCACCATAAGTTGAATGACTAACACTACTTTTAACTTTTAAGTTATAACCCAACAAAAACAAAAGTTTGGTTAGAAACGCAGATTCGAAATCCTTGATATTCGAGAATCGATTTTGCTACTTTGATAGAAAAATTGTAACAAATTCAGTGACATAATCCTAGTTGACAACAAATGATATGATGGAGATGTTAATTATGTTAAAACAGTCTAATGATGGAATGTCATACAACATTATGTCAAGGATTATCTCAACCATTATGTTTCATTCGGAAAAAAAAAAAAACAGATCGATCAAAAGTATGTTCAGCAGAGCAATCTAGTAATTACAGGATCAAATGGGGCATGCTTTTTCAAACTTCATTTGCTCCTCGCGACAAAATTCAAATTCATTTGTGTGGTAATACAGGCATTTAGCATAAGCATCCATCTCTTTGTTACAACTCTGGTGGAGATCTCTCAGCCTGCACAGACAAATACAATAATATAATAAAACTTTTCTATCTAACATACTACTCATGCGAGCATTTCAATATAATTAACAGCATGTTTATATGGCGGATGTCTCAGCTGAACAGTATGAAGAAAGAAAACAAAGCTAAAATCTGTCATATGTAACGTCTAGTATCGTAGATTAAGCAAGCACTATGTATTTAACGCATAGTACTCATGCAAGCATTTCAACATATTACAGCATCATACCTTTCACCAAGACATAATACATGTACAAGCATTTTAAATGGATATTTGACTGCAGTGTTGCAGATAATGGTAGGGTGATTGACACAAAATGTCCTTATCGTTTGCAGATGACATGATTTAGAATGGTAAAAAGAGTAATGCTACAAGTACATAAGCATCTACATAAGGGTTGACATAATTACAAGTGGCATACAATCTAACCTTTAATTCAAATTTCACACTTACACATCAACAACTGGATGATTGACACATCACCATTATGTGCATCATTATGTACCTCTAGCATTATTCTGGTAAAAATGTGTGTCCACTTAACCATTATCATATAATTTTAAGAAAATCAATATAAGAAATGAAAAACAAAAAGGAGGAAAATAAAATTCCAAAAAGCATCTTCTTCTCCAAAGCCCCACACCCAACCCAACCCCGGTCCAAACCCCTCCTACTCCAACAACACCCCCACCCCCACCCCCACCACCACCACAAACCCACCAATCTGTTACCCAGACTCCAGCGAAAACACCCCAAATCATAGCATGTACAGGAAATACTCCTCTTTTCCTTCTCTCTTTCCAAATCTGAGTTCTAGAGGCACTTTTTGACCGCAACTTTACTAGAAAATTCTGAACGCAATTTGAGGAAACAGTTTTGTAGCAATTCCAAAGAGTGGACAATGGAGATGCACTGAAACAATTGTGCTAGATAATAAATATTAACAGGCAAGTTTTCCATTGATGCATCATCGAAACCCATGGATCTATGTATTATTTTATTCTCTACTCAGCTTCCACTTCACCAAGTACTCTACATTCTCCCCCTCCGCTCTCTTCTACAGGATCTCCTCCACCGCGTGCTAAAAATGGCATCCTCTAACACCCTTGTCACATTCTCCAATAGCAAACTGCGCAGGTTGCCTTTCAATGTCACATTCAAAATCTCCCAGGCTAATTCCAATGTGGTTCTTCCTCTATGATCTTCGAATTCTGGGTCCGCCTCAAATCTATCAACACCTTTGCCACTCTCGGCCTGACGTAACCAGCCATCAATCCACTGCTATTTTCCTTGTGGTTAACATTTTCATTTTCCCTTTTTACATCCCACCTTAACTATGAATAAGATCCATCGAAGTGAAAAGGGAAAGCCCTCACTTTCAGTATGACACTAGCTACCAGAAGAGCCCAACGAAGTCCAACCCATAAAACATCAAACTAAATTTAGTCCAATCCATTCGAGGTCAATCTATATTAGTTCATAATTTGACAACCATAAAAAGTTAGCAAATATTCAAGTTTTGAAAAGACTTCTGCTTATATCACATATATATTTATAAACTTTTACTTACAAGCTAAACACGCAGCTAGTAACTTGGTGGCCTTTATCGAGGCACTTCTCTGGGTTCGGATCATCCTTCTTGCACTTGAGAAATGCAATATTCTCACTGCGGCATCGAGTACTTATGTGCTTTGCTGCTGCCATTAGGACAGATGAAGTCGGGACTGGATCTCCTGCTGCATCCACTGTGCTCTCCATCCTCTAATTACTTATTCCTGAGAAAAAATAAAAAATCATAAAAATATTTGCACAACCATACTCTTCTTTGAATGTCAGATTTTACACGACATCTGTACCCCTCGTCACCCCCAATATCATTTGAAGCCAAACAGAATAATGAAGGGGAAATGACCACTAACTTTATTGGAGGAATTCATAAATAGAACAAAATTCTAACTTCAATTGATC